TTAAATTAAATAACGTACATAAATGGTTTAGCACAGACCCTGACCCCCACTCAGTAATACGTTCTTGATAGAAGGTGGCTCCCGTTCTCTGGTTTTATTATAAGCCCAATGGCCAATTAATAAAGAATCTTACAGTAAATGACTGATGACATATTGAGTTTTGAATGTCCACTTTCCCCCAAACTTAATAAGGTTTATAAATGTGAAATTGAAATGGATGACCAAACTATTAGAGCTCACACAAACCCTACAAAACGGTCAACGGTTGCTTTAACCTCTAATTCAGATCTGGGGTTCAGAGAATTCTAAAGTCTTCAAGTTCTGTACCATTCAAAAAAAATAAAATAAAAAGATAACCAAGTGATTTCATCGGATCACAGTTTAAGAGATATGAGAAGCAGTTTGGTCAGATGCTGTTTAAACCCTACAATTTCCCACTATTTGTTGGAACAAGTCACCCCATCCCTCGGTGCGTGCATTTTCTCACCGGTAACATAGGAATGTTATTATTACCTCCCTCTTGTGAGTCTTATGAGGACTAAACACGTAGAATAGAAGTGAAATACTTAGCCCAGGGCCTGACTCAGTCATCATTCAACACATGTCAACTCTGTCCACTCTGGTATTACCGCCGACGAAGTGGTCTCCCTCTTATTTGAAACGTTTCCTGCACTCGCTATCCCGTTTGGTAGCTTTGTCACTGTGATGGGAAAAAATCTTGATATTGGTGGCTTGGTGGGGATCTTTAACACGTGCTATTAATTTGACATTTCTCCACGCAAACCTCCTTTGACCTGGATGGAGAATGGGCCCTGAGACTTCTCACCAGAGGGGCAGCCTGCAGGAACGGTGCTGCAGAGACAGAAAACAAGAAGCCGAAAGCGCAGAGCCTGGGGCAGCCCATGTGGATTTCATTAGCACCAGGTAAGGCGCTCACGTCAGGAGAGCACAGCCCAGTTTGGATTTCAGGCTACCCAGGCAAGAGGTCAAGGAGAAAATCCAAACATAAATCCAATCTGGAAAAACTGAAGATCCATTTATGTTTTATTTAGGAGGGACCCATAAATGCATCAGAAAAAGACCTGGACATTTAGGAGTCCTTTCTTTCATCTCTGTTGGTCTCTACCTACTTCATTTATAACTCGGTGACTATGGAGGAGCTGGATCTACAATGTAACTGATAGGTTTATATTAAAATGTTTGTGGTCTTCATCCTTTCTTATGGCCTATGAGCATATTTACATTTTTATATTCTTTACTTTTTCCTAATTTAATATGATTCTTGCTTTTCCCAGGCCATGCCTCACACATTAAGATGTTTAAGATCATTAAAGGTGCTGATTACCTTCTGGTTTGTACCTGTACTTTCTCCCGAATGAAGGAAGCAAAGGAGATGATTATTTCCTTTTCTTCCCCTGCCTGTGTTCGCAAAAAAGATACACAGCAGCATTCGTCAGGCTTAGCCCTTGACTTCTCAATGTGTGTGTGTGTTTTTTGAAAACCTATCTGCAATGGAAAAGTGTTTATATTTACAAGTAGGGCAGGATATTTTTTTATCTGGGTTATAATTACCTCATCTGAGCCCTCATTTGGAACTGACAGCTCGATCATGAAACAGCCTCCACAATAATTCACAAATACAAGTTCACGGCTAATGGGAAAGCCGAAAGTATGTACCCCCCTTTACTGCATGTTCTTAAAATTCCAGTTTACCTTTAGTTTTGCATGGAATCTTCTTTACTAGGAATCAACTCTTTCTGGACCAGAAAAACCAATTATTCTTGACTCAGCCAGTGCCATCTACTTAAGCAAGAATTATCAAACTGTTAAAGCAATGGGGATGTTCAAGTATTCTGGGTAATTTGGCGTAGTGTCTCAAACACCAGGTTGTTGACATGTTTGTGTTTTTGCAAATTAGACAAAGAACTGCAGTATAAACAGATATTGGGCTGAAATTTTGGTTGAAGGCATTTGAATTTGGATTTCTTATCATGATAAAGCTCCACACTGTCACTCCTCTTTCATGGGTCTCTGGATAGATGTCAAGTCACTTTTTTTTTTTTTTTTGGTACCAACAAAGAATGTTGGTTCTGGAACAGTCAGTAAAAATGTGAGAAAGAGTAATAGGGAGACACGTGTGATCAGTACCGGGTGGATGTGACTCAGCATTCCAAGTCTCTCTGAGAAGATTCTCTTGTCCCTCTGGACCCTGTGGGGCACTGGAGTGCTGGTGGAGGTGGTGGGCCTGGATCCCGGGCAGCCCTCGGCCATAAACAGCGCAGGTTTCGAGCAGTTTCCTCAGTGGTCCTACAAGGGGGTGGAGGAGGCGGGGAGGGTGCCTCTGTGGGACCTGCCCAGGCCCCAGGGGTCGCTGAATGCAGATGGCCCTGCCCGGGTCATCAATCTGCACCCACCCCATTTGTTCCCTCTGCCGGCTTCACCCACTTTGGCTCCCTGCCCTGCCCTGGGTTGCAGCCATTTGTGTTTTTGACCCCGGCAG